TATAAAAAATTATAGATAACTTACTCCCTATGGTATTATTAATCATTAGATATTGTTTATTAAAAAGTTTAATCAAAAATTTAATTGTATTGAGATATATAAAAGTTAAATGGCTTACAATCTATGTATAAATATAAATTAAATTAAAATTAAAATATTATTTTTGACTAACGATAAAAAGATTATTCTTTACCATTTAATCCTTCTAATATTTTGCACAAAAATTGAACATAGTTAAATTATAATATTTGTTAAATACATATATTTGTTATTGTATTTACCTTCATCATCACTCGGAACTAATCCTATATTTCAAATTTTAAATTATTGCAGTATTATAGTTATTATATTTAATTTCATCACCCAAGGTTAGTTTAACAGTGGTAATGGTTAATTATTTATGTTTACCTTCATCACATGAAGATGATTCTATGTTTATTTGATATAAAAATGGGTATAATTAATGAATTATTATAATATTTAAATGTGGTTGATAATACATGGAATTACCGTTACCTTCCATAATGACACTGAATTTGTGAAATAAATTTTTTTTTAAACATCATCTAATCGTCAAATATACTCATTTGCTAAGCTTTATTTCCGTTATTTTTGTTGGTGGAATTTTTTTTTTGGCATTTCTATTAAACTTTTACCTTTATTGTCGCTATCAGATATTGTTGATTTTAAAAGAGCTTTTTTTTATAAAAAAAAAAATTTTTTTTTTTCAACACAAATTATCTTTTATAACGATAATAGAATATAATGGTGATACATATTATGAAGATCTTACCGCAGGATTTGAGGCACAGCACTTTTACGTATAAGTATTGCGTCTTAGCTACATCAATAAATCTTTATTTCTTTATTTAATTATTGTAACGGTTTTTTTTGTAGAAATAGCATGTTAAAAAGTTAAAGCAAAACCATTATTTATAAAATTTACGTCATTATACAATTTAACTATTATTAGTTGATATTTACAAAGTTAAGAGTCGTTAAAATGGGTTATTCTAGTTCAAAGGTATACTTGAAAATTATAACGTGCTCTCTGAAACTGTAGTGAAAAGTTGTAAACTTTCATTTCATATTTGGAAATAAATTTACGGAGTAAAAATATATAAAGATTTTATATTTTTGATTATATTAATTAATAATCTTTCGTCATTGTAGTAAAATTCAAGGAAGAGGCTATCTTCAAAAAGGTTTCGATTTCGATATTTCGACATACTACTCGGATAGTAGCTATGAGCTTAAATTTTAGGCAAAATCGAAAAAATTAATTTTCTTTTAAATTAATGAAAGTGAATTAGACATTGTGGAATTAAAACCCAACATATATTCACGTTATTCAAATCGTTCCACAAAAGTATTAAGAGAATTTTTGTTTCGTAATATACTTATTGAAAAATAATTTAAATATTTTTTTATAACTTCATCTAAAGATATCTTTTAAAAGAAATAAATGGATAAAAATGAAACTCAATATCAGATGTATGTAAAAATGTCATCCTTGTATGGACTAATAATTATTTCGTTATTAAAATTGAGGTACGGATCATATGATTTACTATGTCTCGTACCTCAATTTTAATAGCAATAATAATTGGAAAGTATTTGTTAAAAAAAATTAAAATCAAAAAAATTTTTAACCTAAATATTAGACAAATATTGTAGGACATGACATACAAGGGCGCGTTCACCATAATCTTTCGCTGATTTATTAGTCTCAAGCCGCAAAGCCAAAATAGGCAACAAATAATTATCCTTCATAACATTGTAAAATACACGAGCTCAACGGACGGGAATGCTGAATTATTAATAATGATTTCATAAAATTTCAAAATATTGAAAAATTAGATATTAAAGAAACAGGCGGATAAAAATTATTCTCCAAACTTTTCCATAATTACACTTTTTAATGGTAATTATCTATTAATTGATATCGATACAAAATTTATTTTAGTTTTCTTTTTTGATATATATAAAGTTAAGTAAATGTTGACAGCCTTTTTATATATATCTTTTTTTTTCTAAATCAGGCTGGAACCAGCCTAAAATCCTTAACTGATTAAATTTAATTTAGGTCAGTATGATTAATTTGGACCGAGCTAGCGAAATATTTTATTATTAATTCTTGCAGAAATTAGATTTCATCCATTATTTTAACAGGTTAACAAGGTTTGAGCTCAACTTTTATAATAAATAAATTAATGTTCTTTTTTCTTTTTTCTTCTTTACATCAATTAATTTATATATTTTAATATATTTTTATAATTGATAAATTGATATTTTATTTTAAATATAAAATTGATGATATATAACAATCAGTAGGGATTTTTATTCTGGTAATGTCGATCAAAAACATCGTGAAGCAAATTCTTTACTTAACATGAAAAAATAATGTTGAATACAATCGAATATTATACAAATATTTTTTTTATTACTATAATAAAGTTACAAAATTTAATATTATAATTATTATCTATTACAAATAGATTTGGATGATAAGAATGAATTCAAAATAGGTTTGCTGCTTCTTCTAGTTATATTGTAAATTCTTTATCTTTACTTTTTTCACTTTCAACTTTCTTTTTTTTCTCTGAATTTTTGGCAAATTTTCTGAAGTTTTTCTTGTGTAAAATTTATTCTTTCATTGCCTGGACCTGTAAGAATAATTCTTGATTCTTGTAATTTTTGGATGTACACATATTATGAAATGGACCAACTACTAAATATAAGAATGTATTTAACGTTATATCCAATTGTCATCTGCAAATTTCCATTGGGGGCTTCCATCTATGTGTCAACATATTAAATTCAGTGAAAACTCTGATGTGCAATTCTTTTGATAATAATGCAACTAATTCTATAATAAAGTCGACAGCTCTTTTATGATAATATAAATAAATTATTTATAGTGTTTCTTATCGCTTTTATTGTCAGTAAAAAAAGAAATAAAAAATTAAAATAAAAATAAAAAAATTTGCTAATTGAATTTCTAAATTTACAATTACATTTTCTACTATCTCACTGCTCAGAAGGAATTAATTCAAGATGTATTAAAAATATTTTTATGTTCGATGAAAATGTAAAAATAATTTTTTTTAAAAAAAAAATTGTCCTTGTTTAAACAAATAAATGATTAAGGGGATTAAGGGATTGTTCTTTCTTAAAATTGATTTTTTTTTTGTTCTCCTTTAAACAAAACGAAGCAATTTATATATTTTTGAATGTGTTGATTTGTTGTAATTTAGTTGAAATTAAAATAAGGAAAATAATTTTGTATATAGTAATTGAAATTTTATTTAAGAGGAATGAAACAAAAATTTTTTTGGCGGTGAAAAAAATCAGACGAACATGCATGACGAGCTAAATTTTAAAATTCTGCATTGTATATACGTGTATTTTTGCTACTTGTAACTTGGTACTTACAATATCTATATTATCGTACGGTTACACAAGATAATGCTTTATAGAAAGCGTATTAAACATATTGAAACCTTAAATTATTTATTAATTTACTAACATTAAATTAATCTCAAACCAATACGTCGTGAAATAATAAGATTTATAAAAAGAATAATTTCGGCAATCAAGCAAAATTTTTGTAAATTTATTATTTCGTGACAAGTACTTTTAAAAGGACGATTGGACTATCGAATTATTATACAAAACTCTGCAGGAATTAATCATCATCAAAATGAATTATTTTTTCAACTATTGTTATAAAAATGATATATTAATTTAGTTATTATATTTATGACCTGGTAATTTGTTTATTAAGTTATAATAACAAGTACATCCTTACTATTTGATTAAGTATATAAATGATAACTACAGTCTGATATGATTGAACCAAAAAGTAATTAAAACTAAAAACGAAAATTAATAATAAAAATACATAATCTAATCTATGAGATTAATTAATTTATATACAGTACATTTATTATAATATGACATATTATATTAATAACAAGCTATCATTTTATTAAAAAATTAAGTTCTTAAAATGGAAATGAAAATAACAATTCTAAATTAATATAAATTATTTTTATAAATTTTAAAAAAAAAGTTTTTTAAAATTAAACTTTAAATGAATTATCCAATGATATCATAATTTGAAAGATCGTACCGATCTGCAATATCGTACAACTGGATTCCGATATATAATGAAAATGAATGAATTGAATTCAATTGTGATTTTAAACTATTACAATATAAATTAGACTACTCTTTCTAAATTTCTCTTTCCTGAAAAATTTTTATTCCTGACAAATTAGCAAATAACCATTTACGATTTTTCTTACCACCCTCTCCCCCTTCTCTTCTAGCGTATAGTGTTATACACGACTCAAAATATTTATGTATAAATTCGTCATAATGCTTGACCAACATTTCTTTCTATCTATCGGCTCTTAATGTTGTTTGTGTTAGTCATTATAAATATACTTCTGATAAACTTTAATAACGGCAATATTCAATTTACTGCGCCATTTTCATTGTTTGTACGTATATTTATTTTTTGTAACAGAGTCTGTGAAACTTTGACGGATATTAATTCCGGTCAGCCCTGTATAATATAATACAAATATGTAAACAAACATTTTTTTTATGAATTAAAATATTTTACCTATCCTTTGATATACTGCTGTGATAGAATGTTTCGTGCACGCACATTTGATTCTCCGGGTATCAATATCAATTCTTCAGCAAAAGGTCCTGTTAGCTTACCCAAAAACTTTAATTTTATCACTCCCCACCCTTCTCAACCAGAAAATCCACTGCCATTAGGGCAATCTAAACAATGCAAGGAATGCGGGAGTTCAACGCCCGGACATAACTGGTGCTTATACTGCAATACCGAACATTTTAAGAATAACTTCACGAAATGGTCAAGCGGAAATTATGAACTTGATAAGTTTATTCAAGAAGCGCAACTTAACGCTAACAAATGTAGGGCTGCCTTAGAGTGGATAGAATATAAAGAATTTACAAACGTGAAACATCTTGCAGATGGTGGCAACAGCTCAGTGTAGGTGTATCTTCATAATTAAATCGCAATAGGCACTTGTTGAATAATCATAATTATCTCATTTATTATTTACTACTAGATTTACGGCATATTGGACTCGGGGACCTATACGAGCATGGAATGCTACTACCTTTGATTGGGAACGAGAGACGAATGAGGATTTAATAATATTGAAACGAATAAAGGATTCTAATAATTTAACATCAAATTTCATTAATGAGGTAGATAAAAGTTATCAACATTTGGATTTCTTTTTATTGTATGTCTTACTAACATCTTTAATAGTTAAGCGCGTATCACAAATTCAGCACATGTGTTAGCAACGTCGTGCACTGTTTTGGTATTTCGCGTTGTCCCTCCACAAGAGAGCTGATTGTTGTTACATCTTATGCTCATGATGGAGATCTTCGGAAATTCCTCTCCAAAAACTTTGGTTCTTTTAACTGGAAACAAAAAATCATCACTCTTAAAGATATTGCAAGTGGATTGGTGACCATTCATAAAGCCGGACTCCTACACGTAAGCGTCATTCTATAAATGGCTATAATATGGATGAGTCTTGGAATTGTAAACTTATCCTGAAAATAATCATGAAGTTAAATGTCATCTAACAGTTACTTATAATTAAAGAAAGATTTACACACAGGAAACATTTTGCGAAACGGTAGTTGGACAATGATAAGTGATCTTGGTCTTTGCTGGAATAACACTTCAGTTGCTAAAGATGATAAGACAATCCATGGCGTACTTCCCTATGTGGCACCAGAAGTTTTACGCGGGCACACATACACTCGAGCGGCTGATGTTTACAGCATCGGAATGATTATGTATGAACTATGGTCTGGTAAACAACCATTTGAGGAAAGAGAATTCGATGTGAATTTAACATTAGATATTTGCTCAGGTAACAACCAACATAATTAGTTATTCATAATAATAGATACAGATTTTGATAAATTCTGCAAATAGGAACCCGTCCTGAAATTACTTCAGAAATACCTGATTACTATTCCTTAATAATGCAAGCTTGCTGGAACGGAGATCCAAAGATGAGACCTACATCTCGTGATTTAGAAAAGACATTTAACGCATGGATAGAAAGTATCTCAAAACGACAATTATATTGCCCGGAGATGAATTCTACCAAGAGAAATGCAGACGTAAATGAGAAAATAAAAAATGATGAGTCTGCTACTAACTCATCGATTGAAAATACTTCAAGTCAACCAATTTCTCCTTTATCTGAAGTTCAACATAAAACTTTAGAAGAGCAGGATAAACGTCGTAAGTACAAATTCTTAGGTTCTCCAAATTTTCATAATGCAATGTTTCTTTTTAATTCTGGATTTCCTTACGCAAAGATGAAATCCTTTATCAAAAATATTATAACCAACGTCGCATTGAGCTTGCTGAGCAAGAATCCAAAAATAAAGAAATTGGTAGATTCAATTATCATGTCTACGTTGCATGTTTGATGTGCAATATATTAAAAATGATTAACTTTCAGAACCAATGAATCCAATGACTTGGACAGGTGAACTCAAAATACTTGCTGATGAAATATTTGGCAAATCAGGTATGAAATAATTAAATTTGAATTGTTTGATTTACTTAATATACTGGCCGTTATAATCACTATTCAAAAATATCTGTAAACTGCCTAAAGGTATTGAAAATAAATTGGAATTTGTTGGGCCAGACTCTACCAGAGAAGCATATGATAAACCAGATGGAATCCAAGGGGTGGTAAACGATAGACTTGATGGCATAATGACAGGTATTATAAGTGAATGTATATTGTTGTATTACGTAAGACACTAATTTTATGTTTAAAACATTTAGTGGAAATAAGGCCTTTACGATTTTTTACAAAATTGCTTATTTTGTTACATCTTCAAAATGTGAGTGATTTATAGTAAACTAGGGATTACGACTCACACTAGCACCAAGGGTACCTATTTACTATTTAATGTGTATAATTTATTTTTATTATAATTATTGTACAGTACATGTATTATTATATTCAAAGTTAATAAATATAAATAAAATTATTCTTAATAAGTAATATTTGTATCTCAGATTCATTTTATAAAATGTAATGTTTAATCGGAATACTCAATATTAAATGCTTACATTTTACTATGCCTAAAAATAATTTATAAATACTAAATAACTATTAAAATAATAATAAATTTGCATGTCAGATATTCAATAGGGATGGAAACTTTCGACCAAAGTTAGACACAAGCTTGATTTTGTTCAATCTTAAAATAATGAGATGATTCCATAAGATAAATAAATACTATTTATTTAAATTCAATTATTGCGCATCCGTTTGAAAATACATAACCAGTCATATCATACTAATATAACATTTATAAAGATATATTTATTTTTGTATTATCTTCGTTGGACGTTATTTTACGTGATTTGTACAAATTATAATTGATTTTCTTTATAGCGAGTTTAGAAGAATTTAACTTTATTTACTTACAAGCTTGATAAAAATTTGAAGTGAAAGAAAATTAATGATAATAAACGATTCTTCTCTGGATAAATCTCTAATCGAAATTAGGAAAAGATCTAGTAATAAATATTTTTTTAAGTTGATTTATCATCAAATATGCTTATTTTTAAAATGTTCAATAATTGCTATTTATATGTATAATTTTTTAGGTTAAATAGTGGAATTACTAATTCTTATCAAAGAACACTTCCTATTATAATGACATCATTTTCTTATAAACAAAACAATGATGTATTAGTACAAGTTTCAATTAATCGTTTTTAATCGATTTATATATGACGCAGCGATATTTTTTGAGATATAGTTACCTCCTATTTACGTAGTTTATAGGTTATTATATGTAAATAGCATGTAAATCAATTCCTTCCCATGGCTTTGTAACAGGATTCTTTAAAATATCAGGCTTGGATGACGGAAATGCTAATTAATTGATCCCTGATATCAAAATTTGGTCATTTTGACATATATCTACCATCTGTCCAGTCCAGGGAGTCCGAACGATCATAAAGTTCCGATATGACGATTACAGCAATGGATTAAAGGTTATGCTTAGTAGTTATTTTTTTTAAAAAATATAGTATTTTCGTTATTTCAATTCTTGTTTAAAAATAATACAGAACGTAGTGCTTTATACATGTATATAGACTTTATAATCTTTCGTGTTTTTCCTTGTAAAACTAAATTTATTCTCCAATATCTTATTTATTATTTAATGTAATATCCTGATATTGATAAGCTCATTAGAAATAATTGTCTATAAGTTAAGTTTTCATTAATGTCGGTTATGGTTTCACGAAATATTTTCCAAGTCAAAAATTAATTCTATTAAATATAAGACGGTAAAATGTCAATATAGTCAACTCGTTTTATAACGAACTGGCGGTTCTGTTAGAAAAACCAAGTTCGTTAAAAAGTTATATAAAATTTAAAATTTTAAAGTTCGTTATATCCAGAGTTCGTTTTAGATAGGTTCGTCATAAAGAGAGTTGACTATACTTAACTTATTTTCTCACTAAATGCGTATGTTAAGCTCTGAAAAGTTTTGAGGTGGTTAGCCAACAAATTAAAATTCAATGAATTGAAATATTTTTAGGCCGACTGCTCTATTTCCTTCGGATCACATCGTCTCGATCAGCAGTATTTTTAAGAAAATATTAATCTTAGATAGTTAGTTAGTTCAATAGTAATTCGATAGTAATTCGAAATTTATCTTCTCTTGGAAGCGGTTATAGTTGTCTTTGTTACAATTATTTTATTAATAAAGAGTTGCTTCGCACTCAAAATTGTACTTTTGATTTTCGTTCCCAAGTTCGAACTTAATAATTAAATTAAAACCGAAGTAATTCAAATTTAAGAAGTAGCGTTTATTGATATGGAGAAAAGGATTTTTATTGGTAATTAACATCGACACCTTTTTTTTGTTCTAGATGATGACAAAATTAACGAAATTGTATTTATCTTCGCATTTAATAATAATACAAGTAGATGATACATTGAATAAGCATTGAAAAATAGGGAATTTAAGAACATATTTTCTTATGCAAAATAAATATCATCTGAATTCTTCTATTGCGCAGTACGTAACCCTTTGACATAAAATAATTCTTTAATGGAATTAACTGTAATTACTTGATAGCAGAAAATGTTTGTTAAAAATAATTTATACCAACGCTCCATAATATCAAACGATATAAACTATTATTACTTACAGGAATGGTTCTTTAGGAATACTGGTAACTTTCAATTCCCAGACCATTTTTATAAGTGTCGCTACTTGGATCAACAATTTCAACTAAAAAATGAAAAATAACGTTAATCATTATCACCTAACCTTGAAGATTAGATACTTCACGATAATGGTCGATACTATCATGGCTCGTTCGTGTCACGTCATCATATCCTGCTTTACGTACTAGGAATTTAAGCCTTAATATCAACGGGGGCCCCTAGGTCCCTGAGACAGATGTTGACGTTAGAACCGATCAGCGGTAGCCTGGCCCAGAACCTAATTTTGTCTATGGCTTGGGACACTGATAATGCCACCTGGGAATAACATCAAAAGCCCTTCCTCGCCTTCGTATATCATTTTCTTTTTGTGTTAAAAATAATTAATATGCATATGACTCAAAGAGCAACTTCCACATATTTATTCCAAATCTATAAAATAAAAGTTACAGTCTAATACCAAAATCAAGTGTTTGATGCGTGCGTGTTTCATAAATAGGTAAGTAGTTGGGTAGTTTTATTGGTTGGTAGATAAAAAGTGATGACGAATAAAAAAATACATAAACGGTTCCTCCTTCACAGTTACGCTTTCACTTTCTAAGAAAAAAAAAGTTTAAGAATATTTTTGCCGGTTAGAGAAAGTGGGTGTGTTTATATATGACAAGCAATCTGTATCACTTGAAATAAAATTGCTAATCAAATGACCCTGATCATCTCGCGCTTGAATAATAAATTTAAAGGATGTGGAAATTGGTTAGATTGATAATTTGTGGCTTCAGTCGAATCAGATATCTGATAGACTAATAAAGGATGGTAGGTATTTGCCTCGGACCTCCAAATTTCAAATTAAATGATCAAAAAACTTTCTATTTGATTTTTTTTTTATATTTTTTGACGTAGGCGATAAAAAATTCTTGCGTCAGGCGATAACCCAAGAAATATTAGACGCTAGTTATTTATTTATATTTGTATTTTTCTCATTTGTATTTTTTAATGTATGCGATAATGCAAGTAATTACACTAGATGTATCATTTAAGTCATTTCCCCATATTCTTAATATTATTCCTTTTTTTAGTTGCAGAGAGTTTGAAGAATCGGAACTTTATTGGTCCGACTTACAATCCTCTAGTTGTTGTTTAATTCAAATCTAGCTCATATGTAAATGTAATACCATTCGCCGATAATATTTTTTGGCTAGTCCAATTATAACAATTATTTAATTATATTACGTCTGATAAATCATTTGATAAAAATATAATGACGATATCAATTGACATTTATGTCGTATTATGATTCCTATCTTTTGGAAGGTCAGCTTTTCACATTTTTTGTTTGCTATAAAGAAAGAAATTAGAATTGCGACCTATCTAACTTGAATACCTTTGTTTAATTACTGTAACATTAATTGCATTTAAATAAATGAATATGATAAGTATTCTTACAACATTGAATCAACTAGTTACATTTTCAAATAAAAATATTTTTTCCAATAGGTCGTGAAAATATAAAAAATATTTAAAAAGCATTTCAAGAAACTCAAAATTATTTGCTTGTTTGTTTTATTCAAATTGTTCATAATAGCGTTACGTGCTAATATAACAATTTTATTTATTTAAAATTATGATAAAACAAGCAAATAAGTGGTTAGATCCTTTCTATCCATTATTATCCAATTCGTGAACAAAGAGATAAGCCTTTAGAGATATCCGAATCTTTTCGCATTTTGTTAAGATATCTGTAAAAATCTGGATATCTTGTATTTGACAGATATCTGGATAGAGAGGCCTAACAATATGCCATATCATATCTCATCACCATCTAATATTAAAGAAAAATATGTTAAAAATGCATGAAAAAACATACCATCAGAATATGGAGCAGAGCCTTTGCAATAGAAAGGGGGAAAAATAAAATTTAATTTATATGTCAAATATGATTTTCGGGTCGAAATACTGTATATTCATTAACTCATTTTTTATTTTCCGGCAGTTTCCCCCCTTTCTATTGCAAAGGCCCCATATAAAATCAAAGCTCTTCCTAGTGTATAATATATTATTATTGAGTCAGATTCTGTTAGAATATATACTAGAAGACATAATGTATTTATCCATAATAACTACTATTAGGAAAATTTATTTTTTTAAACCTTTCTTTATAACCTTTAATTTTTTAATCTTTTATAATTGCTTTAGTTAAAATATATTATATATTTTATATTTATTTTTAATAAATGCTAAAGATTTTACTTAACTTTTAATTTTATACAATCATTAAATTTATCTTATTAAAGAAAATTAATTAGGAGGCTAAATATTATTATTTTATTTTAATTAAAATTTTAAAAAGATTTTTTTTTTGATTTAAAATATTATATTAAATAAATATTATTTATAAAAAATTAATTTTTATAATTTAAACATTGTTATATTAATGATTTTATATATTAAACATAATAATATTATTTTAATTTTATAATAATTTTATATTACTTATTATTTTCAATTAATTTAATAATTTATTAAGATTAATTTAGTCTAAAATAATAAATGCATCAATATTTTAAATTTTTATAATTAATAAATTTATTAATTTATAATATAATAAAAAAAATATTTAATATTTAAAATATTTAAAATATTAAATTATATTAAAAAATACATTATTTAATACTTATAATATTTGCTAAATAATAATATTATAAAATTAAGTAATTACTTTAAAATTATTATTTACTTAATTTTAATCTGTATGTTATATAATTAATAAAACTAGCAATTATATAATTTATAATATAATAAAAAGAATATTTAATATTTAAAATATTTAAAATATTAAATTATATTAAAAAATACATTATTTAATACTTATAATATTTGCTAAATAATAATATTATAAAATTAAGTAATTATTTTAAAATTATTATTTACTTAATTTTAATCTGTATGTTATATAATTAATAAAACTAACAATTATATAATTTATTTATTTACTTTAGTAATTTCTTAAAGTTAATAATTTAAAATACATTTGATAAAATAGATAACAATAATGTATAATAAAAATATTAAAATTATTTTTTATTATTTAACTTGTAACTTATTTATTAATTTTTTAAGTTAACTATTATATTTTTATTATTATAATAATTATTTATTTTTAAACTAACATTTTTTTTTTAATTAGAATAAACTAAATTTAATAAATTAGGTATAATATAAATTATAATTTACTTAAAAATATATTATAAAAATATAATATATTTGGAATTTTATCATTTTTATTAAATTAATTTATTTTAGTAATTAAAACTTATTCAAGTCCAAAATTAATAATAAAAAACATTTTACAAAATTTTTTTTTGCAAAAAAAAGAGAAATATTAAAAGTATTAAAAGTATGTTTAAAAAAAATATAAATTAAGTATTATAAATTTGTTTTTAAAAAATTCAATTAATATTCTAATTTTTTGTCATTTTATTATTAATTATCATATCTTCAAAAAAAGCATTATTAACCCTATGCTATTAAGCTTAAATAAGTTAATAAAATATATTTGTTAACAATGAATTAAATTATGACTAAGCTATGAAAGTAATAAATATGAATTAATTAAATTGAAATATTAGATTATCTTTATTAATATAGATTTAAAGAAAAATATAAATTTATAAATAAGTAAATATTATTGATTTATTAGAGAATTTTTGTAATGACTCTATTATTATTAGAATAAAGATACAGGATATTTATATAAAATATATTAATATGAAATAAATATTTACTAAATAAAAGAATTATAATAAAGTAAAGAAATTAAATAAATATAAAAAATTAAATACAGTATATTAAAGAAATGTAAGAAATTATAGATTGCTAAGAAATTATCAAAATTATAGAAATTAAATAAATGATAGAAAGTTAAAATTTGAAATAAGTCTAACTGTTCTTATTATCCCATAAATAACTCTAATAAAAAATATATATATTATGAATTAGCTCTGCATACTTTAGCTTATTAATTAGCATATTTTTATTAAACAGTCTAAAAAAATTTTAAAAAATAAGTCTAACTGTCCAATTCCTATATTATAAATCTAACAAAAATTATATATCAGTTGCTTTCATATCAGCTAACTTATTAACTAGCATATTATTCATATAAATCTAATGAAAAAAATTTAAATCTAACAATTCTACCTTACCAAAAATTTTATTTATCTAACAAAAAATATATATCAGAAAATAGTTGATCATTCTTTGATTTGAATTTGATCGAATTAAATCAAATATTCAAATATCAAATTGAATTGCATAACCCTATGTTACTTAAATAAATATCATATATATCATATTAGTCTAACAAATATTATCACAATTTCCCCCTCAAAATATGATATCAGTAAAATAAATCTAATGAAAAAATATATAATAAAAACTATTTCAGAGTTAGATTAGCTTAATAAATAGTATATTAATAATTTAGGTTTAATGATTCTGCCTTGCTGAGAATTTTATATGACAAACAAAAAAATTTGCAGAATTATCCTAATTTTTTCTTAATTAAGAACAGGTATTACAGACTATTTTACCTATAGAAGCATTAGTATTAAAGGAATAAGCTTTAAACCATAATTTATTATAGTATTCGATAACATAATTTATAATGGGCATCAGCCACAAGCAGAAGTTGTAGGCTTCTCGTAATCAGAATATGATACTCATTTTTCATTTTTTAATAAATCAGCAATCTTCAGATTGAATGCAAGCTTTTTTGAAAACTTTTCAGAATTGCTGAAATAAAAATATAAATATTCACTAATCATCATACTATTTATTATTAGATTCAAAAAAGATTAATAGTAATTATTAATACTTCAGTTTTGCAAAAACTAGAACTGCTTAGGAAAGCTTGAAAATATCTATTTTAGTAGTAATCTATGATTAAAAAGTAAAAGGTAAAGAAAATAATTAATAAACAAGTAATAATGTGACAGTTAGAGTTAATATTATAATTAGAAAAACAAGAAATGATAAAAAAGATACAATCTGTAAATGTTGTAGTCATGAATGCTTAATATCTCAAAAATCTTGTGAGTATCTTAAATGAAATAAACCATGTAAACTATTGCAAAATTAAAGGAATGTAACTTATTCTATTCAAGAATCTGTTTTTTCAGATATGGTCTATAGGAATGAAAGACTTCTTTTGACTAGAAGTCTTAGAAGCTGAAGCTTGTATCTCTTGAACAATAATTTCAGGATCTGATTCACATTAATTTTTATTACTTTTATAATGCTGACGAAGTTTAGAGATTTTATAAATCTATAATTATAATATATACAAGTACAATTTTTCTTATCACTTTTAGGCATGATATTAATAAGTCTCACCTGTTATATATTGTGTAAACTTTAGTTAAACAAAAATAATTACCCCTTATGTATATTTACTTTGCACTTTTCTATATTGCAAATAATTTTGTTTAATTAAAATTTTTCATCCTTATTATAAATGAAGGCTTCTTGTACTTATGACTATCTTTAAAACTTTGGCAAGATTTGTGATAATACCTGTATTCGATCAGAGGAATGCTAATATCATTAGATGACTAAAAAGTGCTAACCTTATATTAATTGTGATAAACCTACTTTTACAGTTTGTGAACAGTATGCTGAACATATTAGAGGATACTATGTAATGCAATATTATAATAAATTGCAATCTAAGACTCAGAAATTAGACTTGATAAAAGAAATGAGAATTAAAGATAAGAGTTAGCATATATATATTCTTTAGAGATGTTTAGCATTGTAAAAGATAGCTAATCCTGTTTACTTACCTATTAGCTTATCCAGATAGTTTTTCTTTTTTAAATGAATATGAGAAAAAAGGAGGTGAGACTTAAAGGTGAGACTTAGTATATATACATTAAAAGCATAATCTTTTGTGCTAGAATTTGTGTAAAAAAATGAGTTTTGAAAGGTTTTTTGTATAATGAAAAATTGATAGCATGTTAGAACTTGCTCAATAAATTTTTGGTTTACAAATTTATTATTCTTTAGAGATAAAACTTAGGAGTGAGATTTATTAGTGATGCAAGTTTTTGTCCTAAGGTTTATGAAAAGGAAATAATTCTATACTGATTTTCTATATATTAAAAAAAATAGTGATATATTAGAACTTATTCGTTAAGCTTTTGATTTACAATTTAGATAACAGTTAAGTCTCACCTTTGTGAGATGAGATTTAGTATATGATACCAAAAGGTAATACTTAGTGATTTATGAAATCAGGTAAGAATCAGCTTTAAAATTAATTTTAAGATATCATGAAATATTGTATGCATTTTAGACTTGCAATATTGGGCTCATGTCAAATTATGTCACTTGATTTCTTGATTTTTAATAGCTCTCTGAAAGACAAGCACAGTATAGCATAAAAGTTATTATACATATTGAGTTTGCAAGAATTGTAGACTCAAATATTTTATCACTTTATTTCTCAATAATTTTGTTTACTCCTAATGGTAAACAGTATAGTATAATTTTTTTGATATATTATTTAAAATTAAAATTAGGCTAGAATGGTTATATCAAACAATATAATTCTTAATATCAGACAGTTTAATTTCTAGTCAAGTTTGATATCAATATCTTTGATAGCTAGATTTAAGTCAAATCATGTAAGAGGCTTGAATTTATAAGTGGTTTATATAGCTAAAATTGATTTGTAAGTGTTAGAAAACTTTCTGTGTACTATTTGAAAATTTTGTTCCAGAAACCCTATATTTCCTATTAGTTACTATATACTTTGAAAATATGAAAAATATTAAAAAAAAATATAGATTATCAGAATTTATGATTGATAATAAAACTAGACTTATCACTTGTTTATTTTTTTGTATTAAAGATTTATAATTGATTTTAAAAATTCAAATTCTAAAAGTAATAAAAATTCAAATTTATGTGATAAAATTAAATAGAGTTAAATCAGCCTATATGTTTGATTATATAAAATTTTATTATAAATTTTGAATGCAATTTTATCATCTATCATATAATTGTAAAATTTTATATTTTTATATATACCAGGATTTTTGTTTCTATTTATTGCAATTATAATGATATGTTTTGTAATTGTTTTCATAAGATCTTAGAAGCTAACAAATTCTTTATATTATCACTTAAATAGTAATGATTTTCATCAAATTTATCATGATTTTCAATCAATTATTATGCAAAATTCTAAATCTATTATTTTTAAATAAAATTTCATTTTTAATAATTAAAATATTAAATATATACAAAAGTTTTTTTAATATTATAAAAATAAATAAAAATTAAAAATTTTAGTTTTTATAAAGAAAATACTTTTATTAAAATATTTTTAAAACTTTGAATTTAAATTAATGCAAAAAGTTACTAATTAATATAATTTTTTTTGATTTTACTTAAAAAAACATCATAAATTTTATTATAATAATATTATTAGTTTAACAACTAACTTTTAATATATTTAAAATTAACTTTAAAGTGTAAGTAAAATTTCTTCTAAATTTGGAAGGAAAACCATTGAAGGGACAGCAAAAAAATTTTCTTACAGTATTTTAATAAAAAACTAAAAGTAAATATAAGTATAAGAAGATAATTTATTATATATAAAGATTTGAAAACTTCTTTTAAAATTATATATTTATTTTCATAAAAAAAATTCACAAGATTCAATTTTTAAAGCAAAAAAATAAGAGAAACATATTAGAAAATCAAAAGAATTACTTCAGAATAAGCAACAATTTGATTCTTTTTTTTAAGATAAAGTAAAGCTTATATTATTATAAGTTCTAATACAAAAAATGTATTGTAATAATAAAAATAAAATTTATTCCCTAATCAGGAATAATATTTTTATGTGATTAACCAATCATACTTTTAAATACTTTTTTTTTTCTCCACTCCATTGAAAAAAATAAAAAAAAACATTAAATACTACGAATTTGAACATTTCAGCAACATTCAAAATATTGGTTCTGGAACCTTTGGAAACGTCTATCGTGCAAATTGGAAAAATTCAAAACAATCTCTCGCGTTAAAAACGTTTCATAACTTTAACAATACCACTGTTAAAGAACTTGTTCGTGAGGTATTTACAAAACATAATATGAATTTTAGTTTATTTAATATCTAATCAAGTATTTATTTATACTTATAATAATTTAGCTTGAACTTCAACGTGAAGTTGATTTTAATAGCAATATTTTATGTTTTTTTGGAATTACAACTTCAAATCAAGGTATAAAATCTTCACTATAAAGTTCATTAAATATTATATTAACTCATATATTTATATATACATGTATATACTTTTATAAAAAAAATTAGAAAATCAAAATGATCACGATCATTTGAAAAAATATTGGTTAGTAGTGGAATACGCAGATGGCGATACACTCAAAAACTATTTAAAGAAAAATTTTTTTAAGCTTACGTGGGAAGATAAATACAACTTGGCATACCAGTTGGCTTGTGCTGTATCTTGTTTACATGACGAAAGAATTGTGCATCGAGATTTGGTAACTTGCGTGATAACATTTTTTTTAGTTTATTTATTAGAACATTGCTGCTTATTAATTAATCTTTTTATATACGTATAATAGCATTCCGGCAATATATTAATTCATCAAGGTATTATTAAACTAGCAGATTTTGGATTATCGAAAAGAATTGAAGCAGCAACTAAACAACAGTCCAAACTTTTTGGAATCATTCCTTATATTGATCCAAAACGTTTTGATCGACGAATAAAAAGTGATACACTAAATGAAAAGAGTGACGTTTATAGTGTTGGCGTGCTCTTATGGGAGATTTCAAGCGGTTGTCCTCCTTTTTATGTTGAAAGAGAACAATATTAGCCATAGAAATTACGGGAGGTCTTAGAGAAAAGGTTGTTCCTGGTACACCTGAAGATTACGTTAACATTTATACTGGTAAATATATTATTATAATTTAATTATAATGTTGATCGATCATTAAAAATATTTTAATCGATTTTAGCGTGCTGGGATAAAGAACCAGATTATCGTCCAACTATGAGCAAGGTAGCCGACAGATTAAATTCAATTATTTCAAAAACAAGTACTACTGAAAATGTTCAAATCATTAATGATGAATCGGAACATCAACAACTTCTTTTGAATAATTCTGGTACTATTAATTCTTTACATGGAGAATTATCTCAATTAATCCAAAATTTTGATCAAATAGATGAATTAAACTTTTCTGAAATGGTTCAAAATTTTTGTCATATGAATGTAGAAGAATCAGAATCAAGTAATGATACTATCAAAATTAATAAGAATTTAGGTAGTTTAGATAACCATTCATCGCAATCTATTATATGTGAAGTTGTGGAATCAGGTGCAAATAAAGTTGTGGAATCGCGTGCAAGTAAATTTTATTCGAGTATTTCACGATTTCAAAAAATTTTTACTAAGATAAAATCACCAAATAATGATTATAAGACGGTTAAAAATAAAAATTCGAACGTGTAAATTTTCCGGTGGAAATTATGTTGATAGGTATTTCTCAAGTTATGGAACGAAGATTAGGAAATGGTGCGATGAAAAAAATTAAAAACAAACTATTATAATCAACTTTTAAATGTATTTAGACGAAGTTTGTCCAGCTATACTAGGTCAAGTGTTGGATTGAAAGACGAATGGATCATAGAACTTGGATTTAAGGATATGAAAGAAATGTTTGATTCAGCAATTTGTGAGATTACTAGACTAATAGTCAATATACTTAATTAGTATTCTGCCATATTCTTGGTTGGAGAGCTAAATATTTACAAAGAAGGATTCGTGAAGAATCTCTGAAAAATACCAATATTTCTGAGTCAAACAATCAACTGTAGGAGAAAATTCGCTAAAGATTTTACTCGTTTCAATTTTTATTTCTAATAATTCGTTTTAAAGTTTATTACGGTTCAATATGGCCTAGATATGTTAAGTCCAAAAGAATTTTGACATAATTGTACCGAAATGTATGTATTCATGAGTAGTATAAAGATACATCAAATTCAAAATAAATAGTTAAAATCTTTTTTTTTTCTTTGTATGTAATTTTAAACACTATCGTATTTAATTAATATTTTGTAATAAAAAGATAATAAATAACTACATATATACTGTATTGTAATTCGTGTTTTATTACTTCACAATTTCACTGATTTTTAATTAATTATAACTGTTTGATACTTACCTTCTACAAGAATAATTTTTAATATATTAAATTTATCCTTTTTACTATATAATTAATTTAATAAATCTTTAAAGCATAATTTCATAATTTTTTATAATAAATTTTAATCATTATCTTTACTTTTATATTACATTAATTTCTAATCCTTTTTAACATAATAATAAAATAATAAAATACAAAATAATTAAAATCGTTAGAATTAATATAATTAAATCTATTTATTTATTTAAATATCAAATATAAAATTGTAAAAGAAAAAAATTTTGAACAAAAAATATAAATACAAATAAATTTTTAACAAATTGAATAATTTTAAATAAATAAGTAATGCTATCATTAATACATAATATCTATTTTAATTATACTTAATAAAACATTAATCTATATATAATTAAGTCTAATGATATTATCTGAAATATCAAAACTTGGTAAAACTAATTTTAGAATAAATCAAGTTATATGATGAAACCTTTGATAAAGCTATGTAAAGTTAAAATCCTAAAATTGATATAATTTAGTATAATATAAAATAGTTTTAACAAACATCATTAAATTATTTGTAAATTTTTAAATTAAAATAAATTTACAAGAAATTGCAATTAGTTAACAATTTAAAATATAATTTAAAAAGTAAAAACTTCTTAATTACAATACTATCTTTAATAAATATACTTTTAAAATAACTAGATTTTTTTATTATAATAATTTTAGTTTTAGTAATCTTTTAATATAAAAATTATCTAAAATAAATTTTTATATAATAATTAATACATAAAATTACTCTAATTCAATAGACATTTAACTTAATAGATAATTAATAAAATATAAAATAAATATAAATTAATTATTAATTTAATTATGTATATTTAATTTAATTAACTTATTATTTAACAAAAAACTAATTTATTAAACATAATATTAACTAAAACATAATTATTTTACCTTAAAACTTCTTAATAATTAAATGTTAAATAATTTTATCTATCAAAATATCTATATAAAATAATATGTTAATAATTAGATAAATATATAACATTAAATTTTTATTTAAAACTAAAAAAATAAGAATCATTATTAAGTTTAAAATATAAGTATAATAAAAATAACAGATATAATATTTAAGTAAGTAAACAATAGAATATTTGAATTAACTTATTTAAAATTTAATATAACTTATTAATTCAGCCTAAATTAATTAATTAATAAATATTTTTTTTTAAAATTATATAAATAATGAAAATATTTATTTAAATACTATTTTTAATTTTTATTACAATTTAAAATCTTTTATAATTAATTATATTAAATAAGATGATGCAACAATTAATTTCAAATTTACAATATGTTGCAACATAAGCTAAAATTAGTTGCAACATATGTAGTAAGGCAAATATGAGGCTTCTGGAACAGATTTCAAAATAGTACTCAGAAAAGATTCCTGACTGCCCACGAATCCATTCTAGCTATACAAATCCATTATCGAATACAAAGCTCTAGCGTAATTTAACTCAATTCTAGATGATGTTATCGAACTTGACTAGGAATTAGCCCGTCTAATATCAAGAACTATACTGTTTGATATAGCAATTCTAGCCTGATTTTAATCCCAAATAATATATCAAAAAATTTTTACTATTCTATTTGCCT